TTCATCGCCACCGTTTTTTTTTTTTTTTTCAGAATTGAGAAACATGGGTCGTCCTACTCATGACAAAAAGAAGCCCATTGATGCATCAGTAGGTGGTTTGGTTTGGGTCCGAATGCAAAATGGGTACCGGTGTCCAGGTCAGATTCTCAACCCAGATGAATTGCCCGAGACTACATTGCCTGTGCCAAGACCAGGGACACCAATAAAGCTCCTTGGGAGAGAAGATGCAAGTTTGTAAGTGACTCTTTTAGTCCCTTCATTTCGTCAAGAACTGTTGAAACTATGACGTTCTTTTTGTGATTATAATTTAATCATTCTTCACATTTAAAGGTTAGGATTTTTATTTTGTTATCCATATGATCCTCCATTACTATGCATAGTATAGCAGTGAGATAATAGTTTCATTTTATTTAAAATCACGTAAAGTGACTCATTCAGTTATTGCTTCAATGCTAAAACATCGACTTTCGTTACTTTATTTGACAAATGGTAAGGATCAAATATTTGTTATTCTATATAAAACAAGAATTTTATTCGGTTATATTCTCTTCATGTGCTTTGTCATGAGTCCATACACAGTAATAGTTGCACCCTATTATTGTTTCTCTTCATGGGAGCAATGTTTGTAAAATTTAGTCATATTGGGCAATCATTGTTTCAGTTGTATCATTGGCAATAATTTTTTAACGTTTTGTCATATTTAATAATCACTGTTTTCCTTGTATCATTGGCAATCAACGAGCTAAGGAAGTTAATGGTACAGAAGGTGGTTTCACGTTTAAGTATGGTCATTGTGTCTTTTTGCATTAAGCAAGAGTTTAAATATAACCAGTTTTAAGTCTTTGAGCTTGGGCTTCAAAATAATATTATTTGGTACCAGTGATATTACAGGCTTTGTTATCCTGAAAAGACAAGTCTATTTTTAGATCATGTTTGACTAAGGTTAAATGTATGTACTTGCGTAAATTATTGTTTCTTAAAAACCTGGTGAATCTTGCCCCTGACCTTTTGAAGGACAAGTTGATAAGCAATATTTAGAACTAACTACAAAAATTCAGTTCCCTGTATATCAATAATTACAATAATTAATAGGGTTGGATCATTTTGCACTTTTTGTCCAGCGATTACTTAATTTCTTTTTCCAGTCAGTTTTTATCTTTCTTAAAAGATCCTTAGATTTCAATCAGTATGAGATAATTTAATTTTAAGTTAATGCCAAATTTCTTTCAGGGGCTGATATAATCTCGAGACATCAAAAAGAGTAAAAGTTTTTCATTGCGGAGAGTTCGATTCATGCATTGAGAAAGCTAAGGAGTCCGGATCTAATTCATCAAAGAAGATGGGTAAATATGCTCGCACAAGTGATGCCACTGTTCATGCACTTAAGATTGAAAGTGATTGTATTCAAAATCACCACCCAGAAAGTAAGTAGAGAATTCTATGGCAAAACTGAAGTACTTTCTCATTTATAGACTTGGCTTTTCTCCTTGGTTTTTGCATATAATTTGCATATTGCTACCTTTTGATCCCAGATACTGATGTTCTGTTTACATTAGGCTCTTCAGCGATTTCAGGGACTGAGGAGCTCAATGAGTTGGGTTCTGTCTGTTGGGGTTCTGATGCTTGGTGGCAGCTAAAAGGAAAAAGAAAGTCAAATTCGAGAAAAATGGAAGTACGCAAGAAACATGACAATGTGTACACGTCGTCGGGACAGCTCTTTCAGAATGTCAGGACCAATTGCGCATGTTAAGTTTGAAAAGTCGTCTGTTATGCCGATGGAACCTCACACAAGAGGACAAACTGATGAGCTGGCAGTTCCCCAGAGGTTAATGCCCTACAGCCAGTCACGTGCTACAGTCAATCCGAAGTACAATGCATCAGAGTTTTATCTGGAAGACTGTAAACTTGATTCCGGTTTGTCTGATGTTACTAGCGAGGTGGAAAGGCTCTGTCAACCACAACCTGTTCCATATATTTCTCCAAAAAGCAAGTTAACTGCTAAATCAATTGTTGGCCACCCACTTACTGCTGACATGTTAGAAGGTGGTATAGTCATTAAAAAGAGGCCACGTGGAAGGCCACGCACAAAGAATGTCAGTCTGCAGCAGCTAATCCCACAAGTGAAATCATGAAAATGGAAGATACGCGAGAGTTCATCGAGAAAGACCAGGAAGTTNATGCGTCCCACTGAAGGTGGTGTTCTGCAGACTGAATGCAGAATTGAATAACTCAATCTGAGGAATGTATGGAGTTCTTCTCCATTGGATTTTTATTTATAGGCTGTTGAATTTAGGTGTTTTTATTTTTTTCTGAACTATGTTTAAGTCTCAAAGTTTATAGTAATCAAGAATTAGAAGTTCTGTGCATTTATTTTATGCTGTGACATTTGATTACTACTGATTTAATTCTAATTAAGGCCATAAGGAGTGTTGGATAAATTAGTATATGAATTATATTTCATTAACAAAAAATAAGTGCATGAAATATAAGCAAATATTGTCTTATACATGCAAAATATAACATAAAATTTTCACTTATCGAAATCAAGATACGGGTACTAAATACCAACTTACTGAAATGTAGAAATTAGAAGAAGATACAATGAAGTAAGATATGCAAATGTAAATATGTGCACTGGTGCTAACATAATTAAATAGACGTCTATTTTTCAATATATAATGCTTCTCCCAAAATTAATATAGCACAATATTAATTTTGTCGGGCAAACCAACGCTTGAATGTATTCTTCTAGGTAGAAGGTATTGAATACTAAATATCGAACACGAACTCAAAAATAATTCGGACATTATTTTGACATAATTTGGAGAATGAAAGAATTGGAAATCAATGAAATGTAATTGATTTCGAGTCAAGAAATGGGATTAAGAGGGTCATACTTATAGATTTTCGTATGTCTTTTGGCACTAATTAATTTATCCATTATAACACACCATTGAAATGGTGTAGATTGCACCTTATTTAAAGGATGACACCCATTGGATACTTTTAGTGTATATTGAACTATTAATTCAAACAATCTCTCACATGAACGGAAGAAGTCAACGCAAAACAAAGATCACAAAGAAGAGTACAAATAAACATAATCTATCAAGATCAGCAGCTTTCGCTTTGAACCTTCCTTCGTAAGAATCTATCGGACTCATTTGGTTAATAAGTAATACAACATTTGAACTGTCGACCGTTATAGTAAGCCAAGACGATAAATCGAAGACATTATCTCTCATATCAAATTTCGTTACTCTATTTCATTTATTATTTCAACCTCAACCTTCTTTGTTCGGCAAATACGCTAGAGAATTTGCCTAAATAAAATTGTCGTAGAATCGGCCAACTTCACACTCATATAGGTGATATTTTATAAAGAGTACCCTAAAATACTTCACTTGTTCTATTTACAAGATGTAGTCATCATTAAAAGTATAGCTTATCATAACTAATATTTGGTAGGTAGCACTTATTTGCATCATAGAAAATAGGAGTTAAAACATCGAAGTGTTTCTCATCGAGTCAATTATAACTAGTTTCCTATTAAGCCTAGTCTGTGGGTATCTTGAGCCATTAGGTTAGGTTTCCATTAATTCGACCCATTAGTTTAGGCTTTACACCCAGTTTCCTCGATTCACAATTAATTCACCATCCAATGTGGTATTCTTCAATATAACAATTAGTATTGTATTTGAAACAAATTGGTTAATGACATTATGTTTATGACATATATGTTAAGACACGCCATTATACACAAGACATTCTGTGTCATTCCATTTGTAGCTAGTTATTTCGATCAAACGACATTATAGGCAAAAATTGTCACCAATTAGAAAAAAACTTTGAAGCCGTTGTGCTTCCTTCTAACTTTATGGAAAGCTCTAGTTTAATCTTTCAAATCTCAAGTCGTTTGGTAGATTTCCATAAAACAACTACACTCTTAATAGTAAAACATGTTTACTAGTTTGAATCTTTGCATTGGATATCCAATTATCAAT